CAAAATAAGGGACCTGCAGCCTCACCTATTCCAGGCACTCCAGTCCTCCTGTCCTCCTACAGTCTGGTCAAACTCATGCTGGTAGCTTCGAGAACACTGTCCAGCCAACTTTGTAACCAGAAGTTCAACTGAATAGAATCTGAATCACATGCACCTCAAGGCCTATGCAGCCTCAACTTAAGATGGCTCCCCGGCCTGGCTTTGCACTGCAAAGTTTGCAGCAGCACGTGCAACAAAATGGCGTCCAGCATTCAAAAAACCCCTCAGCTTGCATTAACTAGCCACACACAAGGCATGCAAGCTCCACCCCCCAGTCGTTCTTAGAATTCTTATTGGGTGAGCAACACAGGGAGGGCCGGCAGGGAGGGAGGGAGAGGAGCTGCTTCCTTTGAAATTTAAGGGACATCATTTAAGGGACATCCATCAATAAGGGACAGCAGCGGGACATGGCGCTGGAATAAGGGACTGTCCCTTCAAATAAGGGACACTTGACAGCTATGGCAGAGAGATGTTGCCATGGTGATGAGGTGTGGGTTCGAAGTGGGGGGGGGAGTCTTTAGCAAGGTGTGCTGGGAAGAAGAAAGGGACAATCTCTGTTTTCCAGGTGGAAGAAAAAGTTGGAAAAAATACATTGTAATAATGCAACATTTGAAGTACCATCTCTTGAAAATCATGCTTTACTTACTATTACTCACATTTGGATCCCAACCTTCCTCCAAGGAACAGTGGCAGGTGCATCTAAAAGGACTACCCAACATTTCCCTCACAACAACCTTATGAAGCAGGTTATGCTGGCTGACAGCAGTGATCTTGGATTTGAATCTGGGTCCCACCAATTGTCAACACATGGAATCTGAATGTTCATGAGAACGTTGGGCTTAGAGCAGAAGGACAAGACAGATGCATTTATGGTTTCCCTGAAACCGGTCAACAGAAGAAGACAAGGCATGTTTACCCTCACAACTGTCTTCTCCTCTCCTTTAAAAGCTACAAATGCAACAGATTCTGGAATGGTCTAGCTCAGAGATGAGGGATCTGTAACCCTCCAAATGTCGCTGGACACTACCTGTGGTTTATAGGTTGTGATTTAAAAGCTGCTCAACCTGCTCTGGGACCTTAGGGTGAAGGGTGGGCAATCAATTGCAATATTATCCATCCCAGCCACTGTGGCCAATTGTCAAGGCTGATGGGAGCTGTGGTCCAGCAATACCTGGGGGGGGGGGGCACAGGTTCCCCATACTTGTTATAATACCAGAGAACCAGTACTGCCTTGGCCCCAGGCCCAGGAAGTTTGCTATCATTAGCTAAAAGCCAACACCCTGCATTTCGTGCTTTGTACTATATGCTTATATAGGCCCCATTCCAATGATGTAACAGTTCCCAAATACTTGAGCACCCTTCAGAGACTGAGTGTCCCTCAGGCTCTTCTTTCTCACTTCACTTCCCCCAGAAGTGCTGCAAGGACACAGCTTTTTGTTTGTTTGTTTTATTTATTAAATTTATATTCCTCTCTTCCCAGTGTAGCAAATAACAAATGATAAAACAATTTAACAAAAAAATCTTAAAAACATACCCAGTACAGGTGCATACCAGGAAAGATCTCTACTTAAATGGCTTGCTGGAAGAGGGAGAGTTTCCAGTAGACACCGCCAAGAAAACAGAGATGGTGCCTGTCTAATAGTCAAGGTGACGGAATTCCAAAGGGCAGGTGCCACCACAACTAAAGGCCCAATTCCTATATTGTAAGGTATAGACCTCTTTATCAGATGGCATCTGTCGGAGGCCTCACTGGCAGAGCACAGCAATTGGGTAGGTATATAAGGGGTGAGACAATGTTTTGCGCTTAGGTCTGGTGCCTACTCAGCTGAATGAGCACTAAGGTCACCAAAAACACAAGGCTTGGCTCAAAAGTATCTCATAGGGTGGGCTGGAGCCGCTATGCTACTTATGCAGCAGGTGAGTTGTTGTTGCTTACTGGGAGGGAGAGAGGTGAGGTGGCAGAGAGGCTGGTGCAGTGCAAACACGCAAGCAGGAACACTGGGTTGGCTCTGCTGGTGCATTTGCTCCCCACTAACCCCCCCCCCAATCTGTCTTCCTTCCAATAAGCAACAGTAAAGATGTCAAAGAATTCTGACAAAAATGAGAAAGGAACAGTTTGCCTCTCCTTCTGTGGTCAGGAACAGAAATCCATTCATGTTGTTGTTGCTGCTGCTGCCAAGTCCACAAACGAGACGTAATTAATGACATGGGACCCCCCCCCCACACATTGTTTTGATGTTTTCTTTGTATTGAAATGAATGTAAGTTCCGAGTTTCATAAGCTGCGCAAGTCATGCTAAATGGCAGGCGGAGAGGTGAATAATGTCGCATTTCATGGAAACAGAACTGCAGCAGAACAGAACCAGCACCGATTGCGACAAATACATGTTAGAACAGAAATCAACGCCATTCTACAACCCCAAGGAATGGTGGCCACATGCCAGGAAGCTAACATAGCAGATCCACCCCACCCAGCAAGCTGTTTCTAGATTGAAGTGAAGTAATACAGATCATAGAACCATAGAGTTGGAAGGGACATAAAGGTCTAAAGAGGCAGGGGTGGGGGAGGGGATATGTGCTTCAGTCCACAATCTAATATTACCTAAGTGCCCCCCCCAATCCCCATTCCCTTTTCAGCAGTAACAGCAATGCAGGAGGGTGAGTCGAGAAAGTAACTGCCAGAGTTGAAAACCGGCAGCATTCTTAAAATGCTCTCTCTTAGTTCATCCAGTCAGGACATGCCATTCGCAGAAGTACAGAATGGCTATTTAAGTATCCTCACTTCAGAACCAAAAGTGTACTTTAGAAAAGGGGGTTAAAAGTATCCTGTTGCATAAGTGATGAGAAACCAAAAGGTCCTCTTTGAAAAAGTCATGAACTTCCCTTTTTGGAGAATCCCAGATCCTCATTGCTGTAAGCGTTGAAAAATGTGGCTATGTGGTGAACGCATATTTCCCTGGCTCAAGGACTTGAAAATGGAAGCAAAACCATATAAATCAGAACTTTGTTTTCAGATGTCCTTGAGTTTCCTTTAGTCATCTCGCAGAAGTTCTGCCTCCCTCCATGCACTGTGAACGAATATGGCCTTTCTACTATTTTAACCCATAGCTATGTCAGGTACCAAAGAGAGGAGGCAGGTGGGGAAGATGCCTCCCTCCTGATGTTGTGACTCCAGCTTTCTTCTTCCTGACCAATAGTCAGGGATGATGCAAGATGGATTCTCAAAAGTTCTGGAGATGTTTCCCATCTCTGTTTTAGAGTGTAAACTCCAATGAACACTGAGCTTGAACGTTCATCAGATCACACTGTCAGCTTTTCCTGCTCTGAAAACAGCAGCGAAATCCCAGAGGAAGGGGTATGGCTCCATGGTAGGACATCTGCTTTGATTGCAGAAGGTCCCAGGTTGAATCTGCAGCATCTCCAGGTAGGGCTGGCTGTGTCTGAAACCCTGGAGCGCCCATGCGGGTCAGTGCATATGATGGTGAGCTAGATGGCTCAGTGGTCCATCTCAGTACAAGACAGCTTCCCATGTTCCCAGTCCTATGAACATGGGCAGAAAAGGGTGAGGCTGTGTTCCTGAAATGAAACTCAGTGAGGATTTGTGGTTTTCAAAGACATGCCAGTTATGGGCATGAGTGGTGATGCACATTCACCCTCCATAAAGGAAGGGGAAACAGATATTTTCATGCAGGTCTCGGAGTCATTCAGCAAACACGCCGAAAATGTGATTAGCTTTAGACTTTGGCTCTGATCCATAATAAAGCAGGAACTCACCAGCCAGATAAATGCTTTTTTTCCTTATGGGGTGGCATGGAAGGGACTCATGAAGATGAAGAACAGTGCAAATAAAAGGGGGGCATCAATATGTTCTCTGTAGAATGGGGTTCAGAACAGCGGCTCAAAAGAAGGAGGAAATAAAAGGGTATCAATGCTGGAGGCACAGTTCAACAATGTAGCCAAACCATAGGCTCATTATTTTGTACTTTCTAAAGGAATGAAAGAACATACATGCCATACATTTAAAGCATGTGGCTTTCCCCAGAGCATCCTAGGAGTCATAGTTAGCCCCTCACGGAGCTACAATAAACTAGCGTTCTTAGGAATCTTTGGAGGAGCTCATGTGCTTTAAATTCATGGTGTGCTCGCAGTTAAGAAACCCCACGGTACTGCTCAAGAGAGGGGAATCTTCCTCTCTTCTTCCCTCTGCCATCCGCTGCATGCTTCCCTCAGGCCTCTCCTGAAAGCTGGGAACACCCCCCCCCCCCGCCACCAAAAAGAAGAAGAGGAAAAAAATAGGCCTAGGATGTGGGCTACCCAATCACCAGGGGAGATGGCTGCATTTGTATCACTGAATTTATGTACGACTACAAGCCCGAAAAGTATACATGCAATGTTTGGATTTTCACAGAACTTGACAGAGAGTGGAAGAGGAGAAGCCCAAGGCACACAGGGAACAAAGAATCTGGTAGGTAGGCAAGAGATGCAGAAGTGGCAATCCTTGGCTCCAGGATGTGCCCACTATCCCTTTTGGTTTCAAGCTCCAGAACAGGCTCTTCCCCTTTCCTCATCATCGCCAGCACATTTCTTAGCAACAATGAGGACAAGAAAGTTGTGTCTTTAAAAATAAATGTGATGACATTATTTGCATTCAAGGCCACATTTCAGATTCCTTGCTGGACAAACAGCACTCAGTGGAAACACACACACACAGAGAGAGAGAGAGAGAGAGAGAGAGAGAGAGAGAGAGCACTTTGTCCAAAGATTTTCCCACAAGGTTGCAGCCCATCCATGTTTTCCATCCTCAAGACGGTATCCTGATTATTTACTAGACTTTCGCGGTGGGAAACCAGTCGCAAGGTGCGAGAGTGCTTGTCATGTCCATGAAGCATGGTGGAAAAGAAAGAGGCTCTCAAAAACTCTCTCATATCAGTAGAACTTGCAGATCCTCTGAAGGTGGCCTCCTCATCTTGGCAAGGGGCCACTGAGGACATCGTGTCTAGGAATCAAGCCAAAGTTTAAAGAGCAGTGTAACAGAGGGCAGACTTTTTCGTGGTTCCTCAAGACTTCGCTCAAGTGTTTCATTTCGTCGGTCAGCTTTCCAATTTCTTTTTTCAGGGAGATATTCTCTTGCTCAAGGCACTCGTATTCCTGAAACGGATTATCACATGAGTTAAGCATGCAACCCAGCCAGCCACTGCCAGGCACATTTCCCCCACTTCGCTGTTTCCTCATTGCAAAGTAAATAAAAACAAGGCAAGGGGAAGAAATCAGATAAAAGCAGACTTGGTATCAGCTATCAAGAGCTACTCTGAAGATCGCGTCTCTGTGTGATATTCCTTGTACATCATGGTCTGGGCTTTGTTAGTTTAAGAACATTAAAAAAGTCTGGTGGATCAGGTGAATGGCCAATCTAGTCCAGCATCCTATTCCCAGTGGCCAATTACATGCCGATGAGAAGCATGTAAGCAGGATCTGAACACAACAGCACTTTTCCCTCCTATGGTTTCCAACAACTTGTAGTCAGAAGCATACTGGTAAGTAGCCACTGATAGTAATTTATGGGGTAAGGCAAGTTTGATATGTAAATGACTGCACCTTGAGGCAACAGAGTAAGCTTCACGACATCTGGCTCCAGACCTGAGATTATGGCTGCACACATGTGACATTTTATGCGGCAACCAATGGAGAATGAGTTCTTGCTTTCCCTACAAAGTCCACACATAACCTAGTGCATATCTTTGGCCCCACAAAAAGTGCTTCTTGGAAACCTGTTCTGAAAATAAAGCCCATTTTGGAACGATTGCTATGTACAGTGGTACCTCGGGTTACATACGCTTCAGGTTACAGACTCCACTAACCCATAAATAGTACCTTGGGTTAAGAACTTTGCTTCAGGATGAGAACACAAATCACGCAGCGGCAGTGGGAGGCCCCATTAGCTAAAGTGGTACCTCAGGTTAAGGACAGTTTTAGGTTAAGAACGGACCTCCGGAATGAATTAAGTTCTTAACCCGAGGTACCACTGTACCTATTTAAAAACAGATATAGGCGATAATGGCAATAAATGAGTGGGTGGGCAGTCACAATGACCATTTCCTTCTTCGTTCCCCTGGGATACGGTATATGTAAACAGGAAAAGTTGTGGAGATGGCAGGATTTAGAATCAATCTTGATAGAAGCCACCATGTTGAGGATGAGCATGAATAATTCCCGACTGAGAAAAACTACATTTTTTGTGTGCTATGAACAAGATTAGTGTGTACACAGCCCTCAATTACTGCGGTCTTCACCAATGCAAATCTACTGTTTGCATATCAGAGGCGTTGGCCCTTTGTGGTAGCTCAGAGGGGATAGACACATTCATGGCAGACAGACCTATCCCCAAACTATTAGCCATGACAGAGAAATGACGATACAGTAGGAATCTACCGCCCAAGCAAGAGAAGACGCATGAAGGCACTGATTTGCATTAAAATGTACATGTGCTAATTTATACATGTAGATGAGCCTGCACAATCTGCGGCCCAGATGCCGCTAACTGTTGATGTGCAACTTCAAGGTCCTTCCTGCTCTCCCTTCTTATCTTGAAACTGGACTAGGACCAGGCAGGAGCCCTTTAAGACAGAGGACACCTTCAAAGGGAGGCCTGTCCTCTGCAAGCAAGAAACACAGCCCCTCTAAATCTGTCCATATTACAATAGACTTATGAAAATCCACACACTGCATTTCCAGTGCTGGGTTTTTAATTCACATTCACACATGATGGCCATCAAAACACATATGGATCCTGTCCTCTCTTATTTTTATTCTTTCTTCTTTTTATAGATTTTCATGGTTTACAAAAGTACACACCTTGCCTCTTTTTTCAAGTTGTACAGTCGTTTCTACAGATCAGTTGCATTTGTTATGAGACATTAGTGTTGAGTTCCTGTCCCCTCTTATAAAATAATACAGTTTGATGCACTATTTCTCAAATTAGCCGCACATCAATTGGATTCCTTAAGCTGTTTCTACTTTGCCTCTAGTCAATGACCCCGGTGCATTCACAAACAGAAACGAATCTGACACTGATGAAGCTGTGCTGATGTGAACAGCCAGGGGAAGAGCTGTGAAACAAACACAGACGCACAACGCAAAATACAACTTTGTTGCGCACTAAGTAATGGGAACACACCCCAAATCAGACCACTGGCTCATCTAGTTCAGTGTTCCCTACACTGGCGGACAGCAGCACTCCAGGTGTTCAGAACATGCCCTACAGTACCTAGTGATAGCTGGGACCTTCTGTATGCAAAAGCAGATGTTCTCTCGCTGAGCTATGACCCTTCCCTTTCAGCTGCTGGCGGGGGAAAGGCAACAACTGCTGTCCTCCCATGTTCTGAAAACCTAGCAGTTACTTAGATCTGCTGCCATCAGAAACGGACGCACACAAACATGTCTGTTATGAGGAGATGAACCAACTGGAAATAAGAAACACTCGTAACTGTGGAGGGGCTTGCAATCAAACCAAACACAACCCAATATCCATCTCTTGTGGTCTGTCAGTTTTTGTGTTGTTGTTTTAAAAAAAGAACAGGTGAAAACCAGGAGGCAGGAAAGTTTATTAAACCCCCTGGTGAGCTCTGCACACATCACTCCCCTCTTTCAAATGCTTCCACAAAACCCACATCATTTGCAAACCCTTTCCTGGATCTTCACAGCTTCCATTTTTAAAATGAAACAATCTTAATAATCTGCACTTCCTGCGGGGCCTGTAGTCTCCCATCCTCTCCGCTCCTTTATCAGACATTATCTGCTTTCTTCATCGGTGTGATTGTCAAATGAAACATAGACGCAAAGCTGCTTTTAAAATTATTATTTTTTAAGTGCAGGTGGGGAAAAGAGAGGTGGCTTAGGCACCAATGCAAATGTACAGCAGGTTGCTGGTTCCCCCCCTGATTTGAATGTGGCTAGGAGAATTTATAGCAATACACCTTAAAAAAGAAAAGTAGATAGAAGCAGTTGCCCGGAACAGCTGCTATGGTCACTAAGTTCATTACCTGCTTGAAGCGTGCCATGTACCACACATGGAGGGGATGAATAATTTGCTCTCTTCTACTGAAATGTCACATTAATCTCTCTGGTTCTCCCCCCTAATTTCCTAAAATGCATTCAGGATTGCTCATAAGAAAGCGTTGAAGCACTAAATGATAAAACTCACAGTAGTTGTTATGACCTCACTGAACACAGTCTTGGCCAACACCCTTCTTATTCCAGTTTTGAGCCTCACTTCTAAAGAAAATCAGCTTTACAGTAATCAGTTAAAGGAGTGAAAGGGAAAGGAGAGTTAAAAGGAATGCAGAAATATACTCCAGGGGAATGTGAGACTAAAGAAACTACAACTTTAAAGTTGCAACATGGTCCCAGCCAGGGGCTCTCAAACGACAGACAATTCAGGTAGTCTGCAGGAAGTTTGTAGAACAATGAAGAATATACGTTCTTGGCCTGACATTTGATTGATTGACTTAAAGGAGATTGGGACTGCTTTGATCAGGGACAGATTATTGACTACTCTCTGTGATTTTCACAATACAGTACTGATGCAGCCTTAAACTGCTGAGGACCGCAGTACCTCAAGGACACCTCTTCCCATATAAACCATCCCAGACTCTGCATTCATCATCTGAGGCCCTTTTCCATGTGCCTCCTCCACGTGAAGTCCAAAGGGTAGCATCTAGGGTTGGGCAATATCAGCTTTTCAACATCGCGGTATATCACCAGTCAAACATCGTGGTCTGGCGATATACTGTGATGTTGAAAAAACAAGCTGCATTGGCCTCAGCCTGCGAGGCGCCGGGATAATTTGTCACAGCTCTCACTGCGGAAGCTGAGGCGGTTTCACCCCAGTGCCTAGCAGGCTGGGACAACGCAGCTTGTTTGTCTGGCTCAGCTGGGGCGCGGGAGGGCTCCCCAATCCCAGAAGAGCCATCCCTGGTCCTCCCCCCCCACTTGCCGAGGAGCCAGCGCTGGGCTGGGGGATCCTTTAACTGCTCAGCTGAGGGGAGCAGCAACCACACACTCTTCAGCCAAGCAGTTTAAAGATGCAGAGAGAGGCGCAAGCTGTATCAGCGCCTCACCAATGCAGCTGTTATCTTCCTCTGCGCAGTATGAGGGCAGCGTGGGATGGCAGTTTCACTCAGTGATGTATCGCTGGTGAAACTGCCACCGCTCCTGAGTCCCTCTGCTAGTAACGCTCACTGGAGGAAGTCGTTAGCAGAGGGACTCAGGAGCGGTGGCGGTTTCACCAGCGATATATCACTGAGTGAAGCAGACACTGCAGTCTGCTCCTCATACTGGTCCTGGGCGATATATTGATGTATCACCCAGGCCTAGTGGCAACACAAGAAGGGGCCTTTTCTGCAGTGGCTCCCCATCTGTGGAATGCTCTCCCCCGGGAGGTTCGCCTGGTACCTTCATTATGTATTTTTAGGCACCAGGCAAAAACATTCCTCTTCAACCAGGCCCTTGGCTGATTTATATCCTACAGCCTTTTAAATGTTGTCTGTGAGAAGGGGGCCGGTTATTGTTTTGCTGGTTTGTTTAATTATTCACATGTTTTTCTCCTGTATTTTATTCTGTGAACTGCTCTGAGATCTTACAATGAAGGGTGGCATCATCATCGTTGTTGTTGTTGTTGTTGTTGTTGTTATTCCCCTTTATATGTTACTAGATAAAAGGACATTTTCATACCAAAGCAATTATTTTGACAACAATGCCAACACTGAAGAGGAAATGTTATTAAAATCTGAAATCTGTGTTTTGATTTGTAGAATAACAAAAGATTTACTAAATGGTCTCCTGAGGGGCCACTCCCACGCCAGTAAGTGGCCTGCAAAAAAGTTTTTATGTTGGAGAACTGCCATGACTCTGATAAAAAATATTTTCTGCACAAGCTACACCTGTTGAAAGCTCCTTTTCTGTACACCAGTTAAAGTGTAGGAGCCCTGTCTTCTTCTGCTCTACTTGTTACATAGAAGACACATAGAAAAGAGCAAAGGGAAAACCTTTGGCAATCAGGGCTTTATAGCCCTGAAAGATATGTGACAGCAAGAAGGGCTGTGGCACAGACTTCTAATATCATGAACATTGCAGGGAGAGTGAATAGTGAAAAACCCACCGATTCTGACTCAAAACATGACACGCTCCAGGATCTTCTGAACCTGGCAGGGTGTGTAAGACGCAGGCCAGTCAAAGCTGTACTTCATGTGGTTTGTAATTATTATGCAGAATTCACTGCCCCAGGCTGCATTGAGAACCACGAGTTTAAGCATCCTTGAAAATGTGTTTGCAGAGGAAAGAACTACCTAGGAGCCTCAAGGGTGAAGCATGGAACAGCTGTGATCAGAGGCAGTCTACCACTGATCACCAGTGCCCTGTTTAAACAACTGGGGGTGTTCAGCTCCACTGCACCTTGCCTTCTCAGCATCCTGCTAGCCTCCCTGTCAGAAACAGAATGCAGAAATAGGTGGGCCTGAGGTTTTCTGACACACCAAAACTGAGCTCCTTCAGGAAAACTGGCAACGGCTAAATGCTACCTCCAAGATGAGAAGCAGTTTGCCTCTGAATGCCAGCTGCTGGGGAACAAAACGGAAGAGGGTTTCTGCACTCATGCCCTGCATCTGGGTTTCCCATAGGCACCTGGTTGGCCACTCTGGGATAACATATGACAGACATTGCACATCACATCATGGACTGCCTGGTCACAGGATTGACTGACTGACTCCAGCTGCAGAAGCTGAAGCTGCTGAAGAGACCAGAGACCATCTTGGCTGTGAGTCGTGGAAGACCTGCTCCCTGCCTTGCAGGCCTTTTCCCACCTGGCCTGGGATGCTGGGGCCCTGACTGACTCCAGCTACAAAAGCTGAGGCTGCTGAACAGACTCTCGGGCTAGGGTATTGTTTTGTTGTGGGGAGAAGAGTGAGAGGTTGTTGCTGCTACTGATATTAATTTTTGTATCTTTACTCTTCAATCTTGTTGTGATTTAATGTGGAAGTTGTTCAGTTTAGTTCTGTACTTTTTAATGTGTTTCATTTACAGTATTGTTTATGACCATTCAGATTATATTTGCAATTATGTAATGGTTTGAACACTAGAAATATGGCATACAAATAAAATGATGTATTTATGTATGATCATTTATAATAATTTAAAAACGTCATCCACTCCAGTCACGCAAGGCAGTGTTTGCCACATCACCAAACTGCTAACAGGGTAGTGAATGAACAGATGCAAAATGGTAGAAGGAGACCATTAATTCTACAGGCGTTTGCATGTGAACATCATAGAATCATAGAACTGGAAGGAACCTTGTAGGTCATCCAATCTGTTGCTCAAAGCAGGATCTATAGTGCAGGATGCAATTGCTGCCTCCCTGACAGATGGTTGTCTACAACCTCTGCTACACTACCACCAGCAAAGGAGAACCCAACCCCTCCCAAGGCCAGCTGTTCCACTGTCAAACAACCCGTAACCATTTGGATGTCTCACCTAAATGTTGAAGCCAAAATCCGCTTCCCTGCAATTTCCACCCATCAGTTCTAGTGCCACCCTTGCAAGTAACAGAGAACACATCGGCTCTCTCTTCAGTTTGACAGCTCTTCAGATACTGCAAGGCAAGTGATTCCCCTGCCTGTTCCTTCTCCATACAACACCTCCCCCAGCTGCTTCTCTTCCAGACTCATGTTTGCTGCATCCAAGGAAAAAGCAGCAGCGTGGGGTGGGAGGACAGTAGTACCAGTAGGCAGAGAAAGGGTTAAGTACCCCCTCCCACCAGCTGCTTTTCCGCTACAAAACACACACTTCCCTTTGCTACTTTACAGCTGCTCAACAACAAGCCAGGTTCCCCAGCCCTGACAAATGCTGCCATTTTGTTCAGCCCTTAAACAAGTATGAAGAGGGCCTTCATTTGCACTCGGGAGTAATATTACTGCTCTTCCCTCCCTCAGGGATCCACAGCAATGTTCACCTCGTGGAGTTTATCTGCTTTCTGTGTTTGTTTCTTTCTGCTTCTCTGGGCCGCAACTCTGTTCTTCTCTCTCCGTCGTACTTTCCTTTCATCATCTTCATGACCCTGGCCAACGAAATCAGATGACTTAGTTAGGGTTCACCTACAAAGGAGTTTAATGTGGATTTGAAGCTCCTTGTGCCTCCATTCCCCACCCCCACCCTGCAGCGTCCACATCATTCATCCAACCGGCAGCCAGTTAATTTGGTCCCCCCCCCAGTTAATTAAGATTTTTCCAATCCATGGCTAATCCAGTTTGTAGAAGTATCCAGTATAAAATCACATGCACTGACTGTGGATGCAATGAAGCACATTGTGTAGGTGTGTGGGTTTGTGTGTAGTGAAGTTTTGCAGTGTGTTGCTGGAGGAGACTCTTGAGAGTCCCATGGACTGCAAGAAGATCAAACCTATCCATTCTTAGGGAAATCAGCCCTGAGTGCTCCCTGGAAAGACAGATCGTGAAGCTGAGGCTCCAATACTTTGGCTACCTCATGAGAAGAGAAGACTCCCTGGAAAAGACCCTGATGTTGAGATAGATTGAGGGCACAAGGAGAAGGGGACGACAGAGGATGAGATGGCTGGACAGTGTTCTCGAAGCTACCAGCATGAGTTTGACCAAACTGCGGGAGGCAGTGGAAGACAGGAGTGCCTGGCGTGCTCTGGTCCATGGGGTCACGAAGAGTCGGACACGACTAAACGACAACAACATGCCATCTATTGTTGCACCCTCTACTGTCATTTGCTCCTTGCCTGAGCACAGCCTAGCCATTCTGTTTCCATCAGCCAAAAGGAAAGGATGTATCATGCCTGTTTCCACCAACTGTGACTGAAGGTAGAGAAATCATATTATTATTATTTTTAAACTGCTCTTCTGCAAAACAGCAGTATTAAGAATAAAATTAAAACTGCGCTTCAGTTGCTGACACATTTCCAAACATGCCTACTTCCAACTACTGCATGCTGGGGGTATGTTTGCTGAACATAACTAAACCTTAATATTTCTTAAATTTTAATACAGAGGCTTGTGTAAGAGGAGTCTTGTGCAAAACCTACACACACACACACACACACACACACTCAACTACAACATGTAAATATTAATTGGGAGTGAAGGGAGATGGGAATGTGGACACAAAAAGGTGAGGGACTAACCTAAGAACACGAAAAGAAGGAAGAATCACTGGAGCATTGGGGGCTAGATGGACTAGAACCTTGTTTATTTCTTAATTCAAATCCCTTTCCCAATTCACAACTCTTCATTTTGACCATTGTGAAATACACCACTAACCTTTGTTCTTGCACACTTCCTGGTGTGTGTGCTATTTTTTAATTTTTTTTAAAAGGTGCACTGGTAAAGAAACACCTGCTGTTTGCAAAAATGGGAATGGAGGGTAGATTGGCTGCTGCTGTAGCATCTGCAGTTTAACATAAGAGGAGCCAGTGGCCCATTGAGTCCAGCATCCTGTTCTCACAGTGGCCAACCAGAGAACTGTTGGAAACCCACAAGTGCAACCCGAGCACAACAGCACTTTCCCCTCTGGTGGTTTCCAGCAGCTGGTATTCAGATGCATGGCATGGCCCCTTCGCTCTGCGTAATGGGCCCTGGAAGGCTTTGGTGTGCTTAAAAAAGGTAAAGGGACCCCTGACTGTTAGGTCCAGTCGCGGACAACTCTCGGGTTGTGGTGCTCATCTCGCTTTACTGGCCGAGGGAGCTGGCACACAGCTTCTGGGTCATGTGGCCAGCATGACAAAGCCACTTCTGGCGAAGCAGAGCAGCGCACGGTAACGCTGTTCACCTTCCTGCCAGAGCGGTACCTATTTATCTACTTGCACTACTTGCACGACGTGCTTTCGAACTGCTAGGTTGGCAGGAGCAGGGACCGAGCAATGGGAGCTCACCCCGTCATGGGGATTCGAACCGCCGACCTTCTGATCGGCAAGCCCTAGCTTAATGGGTCCTGAAGGCTTTGGTGTGCTTGGGTCCCAGCAAAATCACTGAAGCGGACCTGGGTCTTCTCTCTGCTTTTCCCTTAGGGGTATGATCTGCTCGCTGAGGCTTCCCACTGTCTTCTGTGATGGTAAGCACTTTGCATGTGCGCGGGAGTTCCCCCACTGAGAAGGCATCGAATTTCCAATCTAACTCACTCCTTTTCCCCCCATTGCCCCTCACCCCCACTCCTTCTCCTTCTCTTTGAAAAGCAATTTTTAAAAAACACACAAGACAGTGCAGCTGACGGTACCTACTGCCTTCCGGCAAGACATGACCAACGAGTCGCTTATGACCACTGGTGGGTTTTGATTTAGAGAATTATACAGCGGGTCCTGCAACAAAATTTTGCAGTATGAAGTGCAATTTTGTTCTGGGTTCCAGTCACTCCCCATGCCATCCCCCTACCCCAAGATCCACTCCTAATAGACAGAAATCCATGCCCACCGAGAATAGGGTTGCCATATTTCAAAAAGCGAAAATCTAGACAGAAAAGTTCTTTTGGTTTTCTAATTGCAAAATTGCAGGGAAATTGGATGTTTTCGAGCTACCGTATTTCTGAGGGCAATCGGCAAAAACGACACTCCTGACATGGGCTGCCATACGTCCAGATTTTCCCGGACATTTTTGACGATTTCCGCACAGACACTGCTTGTGGCCGTATGCCAACCCTAACTGAGGATGCTCCACTCCAATGTGGTTTTCTACTCCCTGCTTTGGGAAGGGCGAAATGGACAAGCTTGTGCCCGATCCTAGTTGTATCAGATTGATTAATTTCCCCATTGATGTCTATGGGTAATTCTCGCCGCCTTCCCTGGAGACTTTTAAAAATTAGCATTTCAGGGTGAACAAGGATGTGGCCTATCTATATAAAGAGATTGTCCTTTCTGCCTTTCCCTGTTCCTTTCTCTTTCCATCCACTCTGATTCATTCCCTCCTTCCACCTAACAGTCAGTTTCTTTCTTCTCACTCTCTCAGTCACTGATCTGTTAGTTATTGTTACGCAATTTAAATTCAGGCCCATCTAAGCTTAGCATCCTCTTCTCACAGTGGCCAACCAGATGCCTGCGCGAAGAGCCCTCTCTCTCCCCTCTGGTGGTTTCCATCAACTGGCACTGAGAAGCTCTGCTGCCTCCAAGCTGTGGAGGCAGAGCAGGGCAATCATGGATTGTAGCCACAGAAAGATAGGACTGTTGTTCAATGGGGAAATTCAAGCTGCGTGCCTTTGCTCTGTTAGTGTCAAATGGACAAACAGAGCAGCTTGTTCTAAGTTTGTTCTGAAATGTATAGTCCCATAGGAGATCCCTGACAGGCACAGTCCACCAGGGTTCCTTTCAGTGGTGCCAAGTGGGGTGGGGTGGGGGGGTCCCAGTCGCATAAAGATTGAGAATATCCAAGTTGGCAACCTGTAACTTATAAGTCATAGACCTTAGAATCATAGAATTGCAGAGTTGGAATGGCCGTGAGCGTCATCTGCCATTCAGGAAACTTTCACCCGGAATTATTTCTGTGCACACCTGTTCCTCAAACCTTACCTGCTTCACAGATTTCTTCTAAAACATACCCCATGAGATTTCGTTTATTTATTAAATTCGTAAACTGCCCTTTGCCTGAAGATCTCAGGGCAGTTCACAGCCCAAAAATACAAGATTAAAAACACAAAATATGTAATAAAAACAAGGAAAAGACAAAACCCCATAGCCTTTCCTGGTAAGTAAACCGTTCCACACACACCTCTGTCATTTTGGCTGCCCTGCTCCTCCACCCCCATATATTTTTTATTTGATCTGATTTTGGTTTTTGAGACTGCACAGCAGCACCAAACCTCTGCAGCCCTGCTCGGTGGTTTTATTTCTGATCCCTCAGAAGCATGGGGCAGATTTACTATGAAACTAAATGAAGCTCAAGCTTCAGGGTCTTGAATTCCAGAGGAGCCCCAAGTAGCACAAATCAAATTTTTTTGCTGCATACATTTCAACGAAGTTTGAGAGTAAGTAGCACAGTAAGCTGGCTGTTCTGCTGTGGCTAATATAACCCCTTCCCTTTTTTGAAAAAACAGACCCTAGAGAGGAAACTAAGCTAAGGGTCTGGAAACTAAGTCTTATGAGGAGCTGGGTATGTTTAGCCTGGAAAAGAAGAGACTGAGAGGAGATATGATAGCCACCTCCAAATATCTTAATGGTTGTCACATGGAAGAGGGAACATGCTCGCTTTCTCTGGAGGGTGGGACTCGAGGCAATGGCTTAAAGTTACCAGAAAGGCCATTCCGACTAAACATTCGAAAAAACTTTCTGACAGTCAGAGCTGTTTGGCAGTGGAAGAGACTCCCACAGAGGTGATGGACTCTCTTTCCTTGGAGGCAGTGGCGTAGCGTGGGGGTGCAGGGGGGGTCGGCCGCACCGGGTGCAACATCTGGGGGCGCGCGCTCGCACTCGCAGCTCTCTGCCCCTACCTGGCTCACTCACTCTCTCTCACTGCAGTGCTGGCTGTGCGAATCTGATCCGAGCCGCTGGGTCGCCGCCCACTGTGGAGGGGGTGGGTGCCAGGCGTGCGGTGCGGAGAGAGAGCGAGGGACTATCTGGGGGAGGGACAGTGCAGCGGCCGCCCAGCACAGCGCTGAGCGCAGGAGAGAACCACACCAGACCAGCCCAGGCAGCAGCAAGAAGCTGGCAGCGGCGGCAGGTTAGGGGGCACAAATTACTTGCCTTGCCCCGGGTTAGGGGGCGCAAATTACTTGCCTTGCCCCGGGTGCTGACAACCCACGCTACGCCGCTGCTTGGAGGTTTTGAAGCAGAGGTTAGATGACCATCCTGTCATGGGTGCTTTCAGCTGAGATTCCTGCACTAGATGACCCTCGAGGTCTTTCCCAACTCTTAAGATTCTAATGATTCTATGAATTCACGAAAGTGGATACCCAAAACGCAAATTGTGGTGATCTGCGGTGGAGCAACCCCATGGAAGAAGAGAACCGTGGTTAGACCCCGTTGCTGGTTGTGAAGGGGCCCCCATTGCAGCTCAAGCTTCAAGCCCCCCCCCCCCATGTAGGTCCGCCACTGCTGGGAAGGAGCGCGCAAGGGCGACTCGGCGCAACCCTTTTCCTCCCCCGGGTCCCCTTTCCTGGCCTCGGTCCCTCTCCCTGCCTTACCTGCTGCGTCCCCTCCGAAGAGGAGCTCCTTCGCAAAGTGCTCGCCGCCGCCGGCGCGCCCTGAGACATCCCGCCGAGGCGGCGCCGGCGCTCCTCCTTGTGCGCGCAGCCGGCAGGAGTTGGCGGCCAAAGCGCATCGGGGGAGCCCCGGAGAGGTGGAGCGTCGTCGTCGCCGCGCTGCGCCGGACGAATGCCTGCCTGCCTGCTTGGCTTGCTTTGCCTCTCCGCCTAGGCGGAAAGCCCAGCCAGGGACATCCCGGCAGCTGCCGGCAACCGCGAGGCGCGCGTGGTTCCCCGGCCGCTCGCCGCCTTGCTGGGGCAGAACCCGGCCGGGAAGAGAGCAGAGGCAGGCAGGCGCCCGCTCCCGCTCCCGCGCTCGCCTGACTGGGGCGCCCGGGCGGCGGCGGCGGCGGCGCCTTCCGAGGCGGGCTCGAGGCGGGCTTCGTGGAAATCACGTGGCGCCCCGGATGAAACTTCGGAGGGAACTGGCTGCGCGACCACAGGCCGGGGGGCGGCGAGGGAGCCGCCCGAGGGGGAAGCGAGGCTACGGGGGCTTTTCCCTCGCCCTTTCCCCACCGCCGCGTCTCGGCCGGAGCAGCGGCCCCAACCAGAACCGCTCCCCGCCTGCCTGCCTGCCATCCCGGGCCGGATCAGCGCGGAGGGGTCGTGTGAAACCAGAAGTTCCTCACCTCGCCACCAAACGCCGCCCACGCGCCGCTTGAAAAAAGTCGCCTTGTTATTAATTTCACGCTTCCAGTACTTACAGACTTATATTTCGTATTGCATCACAAATTCAAGTATTTTTTTTTTAAAAATCTTTTTGTGATTATATTTTTTCCTTTCACTTTGTATTCGCACCGAAAACTTTCAACGAAGAATCGTATTTTATGCAAACAGCAGATGGAAAATTGGAAGTTCCTCTTCTGTATTTTCTGCTAATGTCTTCCATTTATATATATATATATAATATATATATATAATTATCTTATTAAGCTTCAACTTTTTAAACATATGCAATTAAAACAAAAACACAATTCTGTCTTTTCTCTTATTTTTGTCGACTTCCCACCCCTTTCCCCATGGAATTGTTGCTTCTCCACTTCTGCTGCACCCTGTCTTTTATCTATCAAATCATAACCACAATATTACCATCTAATTACTTTTGTTGCTCATAGCTCAAATCCTGCTAGCGAGTTCATCATACTATTTCTTTAAATAGTCAGAAAAAGGCATCCATTCATTTATCTTTTTTATTCCCCTCCCCCTCTTCTTTTTCATCCCTCTAATTTATTTTTTTTCCTGCTTTGCTTTTGCTTTTATCCTCTACTCTGGGTTAACGAGGAAATGACGCGTAGGTGAAGGGGATGAATGGTTGGTGAAGGACCCTGTGTGAGAGGCAGCGAAAGTAAGATTTCCCAGGGTGAGAGGCTGGGATAAGAAAGGGAAGCTCACAGATGAGAGCCAGGAGAGTTCACCTATCTGTGTGTGGGTAAGAGTCCTATCAGAGAGGACTTTGCATTTTCCTTTTTTTCTGTTTGTTTAGATTAGTTGGTTTTTTATTACAATGTATTCTGAAAAGTGTCCATAAAACTTTCCAAAAAAAGGAAAATTTTCAATAAAACATAAATATTAAAAAAGGAAAATTGCCAAGGGTCTTGGCAGACCACTGAATGGTTAACACCCCCCTTCCCTTTGTTTGTTTGTTCAGTTTATATGCCTCCCTTCATCCAAAGATCACAGGTTCCCTTACGGCAGAGACAGATCTAGATGACCCTCAGCGTTGCCTCCAACTCTACAACTGATGCAAAGATGCAACACAGGAACCCATCTTATACCACGATAGTGCATTTGTCCATATAGCTAAGTATTGTGTACACTGGCTGGTCTTACCCAGCTTGGGGACGCCAGGGATTGAACTGGGAAACTTTTACATGAAAAATTCACTCCCTACCACTGACCTATGACCCTTTGCCAAAGTGATGAAATAGTGTCACATATTCTTGTTTTCCCATCTAGCCATAATTTGGTAATTCCAGAATGCCGTCCAGAATGAAAAAAAAGGCATAATTTTCCATTGTGTACTAGATTTATTGCATGCAACACTGTTTTCTTTTCGCTGCAGTTCATTAGTCTTTCCAAAGCACAATCCTCCTGCCTATTTCAGTCTTGGCAATGTACCACACTATCAAGCCCAGATGCACACAAAGGATCACGCAGCCGTCTTTTTATTAGGTGTCCCTCGGAGAACTTGATGAGCTATATTAAGAAAACAGCCAGACGCCTTCTGATGCAACACCAGTTTATGCCCAAGTTAAAAATAAAAATGTTGAATGTTGTAATGTTTCAAGTAAAAGGAGATTTTAGATTTCCCTTTTACAACAATTGGATTTCCTGTAAGTTAGAAGGCAACAACAACAACAAGTACAACAAATTTATTAAATTTGTGAGGTCCATGCCTTTACACAAAATACCATAAAACATTTTTAAAAGATAAACCAAAAGGATTATAAAAGTAGGCTAAAATTCATGCCATGTTGTCCCAGCAAGGAAACTACCCAAAAAACCCCACCATTCAAGGAAGAAGGTACAGCAACAGGTTAGGAGAGCAATGGGAGGGACCTCACCGTTTCATCCAGGAACCATACCCTAGTTTTCATAGCCTTCACCACAAAGACCGCTACCACGTGAGAAATCCGTGGATCAGCGTCTACCAGTAAAAACTTTACTTGGTCCTCAGAGTTGACTATTGATTTAGGAATAGTTTGTAACATCGCATCCCTGAAGGCCGAATAGATGGGACAATACAACATGTAATGTATGAGATCCTCTTTGGTTCTCATATAACAAGGACATATCCGCTGCTCTACTGGGATTTTTGCATATCTGCCTGACAGATAGGCCGTAGGAATGGTTTGAAAACGGGCCATAGTAAAGGCTCTCCGAAGAGTGGGATTGGTGATATTCGCCAAGTAGTTGGCGCAGATTTTGACTGCTTTCAGTCGGGGAAGCCAGTGGGAGGACCCTGGGATCTGTATTTTTGTGGTATCTAACAGAGCGTCTCTCTCCAGGATCCATTTCCGGACTTTGTCCGGGCTCCACCGTTTGAGGATATTAAACTCCGGTAGGGTGTATCTAACCAGGATCTCAGATAAGTTTTGGCGCCAAGTGGTATTCTTTTGAAAAGATACGAAGGCTTGTTTGGCCAATAAGGTGTTTGAAGAGTTTGCAAGGTTGATGTAAAATCGTAGGAATCTTAAGTGGGCCCTGGCAGACACAGAGGGTAAACCAACCTCCACCCTCAAGAAGGCTGCTGGGGTTCCTTGAGGAAGGCCTAGAATCTTCTTGAGATAGTAGTTTTGCAAAATTTCAAGCCGTTCCAACAGCCTCTGGTTCCACCCCCAGAGTTCTATCCCATATAACATCTGGGGAATAGCTTTCCCAACGAAAGCTCTTAATGCCGGGATCACCAATTGTCCTCCCCTGGTATGGAAGAAACTAAGCAAAACACCAATTGTTCTTCGTGTTAGGATGGTTACAGCCTTAAAGTGGGCTAGCCAGCTAGATGTAGCCTGGAATGTAACACCCAGATATTTAAAAAAGGGCACTGTTCAATCACTTGTTCATCTAAAGACCATCTAAAGGTGTGGCGAGCTCTAGTAAACACCACAATTTTTGTTTTATCATGGTTTATCTTTAGTGAATTATGGGAACAGTAGGCTGCGATCCCCTCCAGCATGCTGCGTAAGCCTCTTCGGGTGAGTGCCATTAAAACCATGTCATCGGCATATAGCAAAATATTCAGGCGTTTACCTTCAAGGGCTGGAGCCGATGACTTGTACTTTGCCATGTACTGGACAATGTCGTTTATATAAAAGTTGAAAAGAAATGGGGCTAGCAGGCATCCCTGTTTGACCCCTTTCCCCAATGGCAGTGGGTCCGTAAGAGTTCCCGATGGCCCAGTTCTGATTTTGACTGTAATGTCTGTATGTAACTCTCTGAGAATTTTTAAAAGTCGTCTGTCAATGTCCGTTTCAAATAATTTTTCCATAGTCTATCTCTACAGATTGAGTCGAAGGCAGATGTCAAGTCTACGAAGGCCACAAAGAGTCTGCTCTTATACGCTTTTGCATATTTAGCTACCAGGGTCTGTAGTACCATACAGTGACCTATCGTATTGTGGCCCTTTCTAAATCCTGCCTGTTCCTGGTTGAACAGGTTAGAATGGTCCGCCCAATCTACCAGCTTGTTTAATAGGTACCGGGTATAAAGTTTGTATGCGATGTCCAGAAGGCTTATAGGGCGGTAGTTTGCTGGATCTTGAATGTCTCCCTTCTTATAGATAGGGACTACCACACTTAGTTTCCAATTTGCTGGGATTTTACATGTGTTGTTCATTGCCGTAAAAGTTTGGCCAAAAGATGGCCCACCATTGGGCATTTAATTTAAAAACCTCAGGGGGGATCATGTCCTCGCCAGGAGCTTTGCCATTTTTAAAGTTTTAATTAGCTGTAGGCACTCTGATTCCGTAACAGGATCCCAACTAACTAGATGCTCATTCTTCAATGGGAGGAGCGGACTCAAATTAGCAGTATTTGAGAGTGTGTATAGCTTGAGAAAGTGTTGATACCACACATCGGATGGAATACTGCTGTTTACAATTTTTCCTTTGGATGAGACTCCCTGTGCTACTATTGCCCAGAATTTTCTATCGTCTCGCGATTTAATCGCCTTATCAAGTGCCTCCCATTGTTTCTTCCTGTAAAGGGATTTCTTGAGTTTTAAGGTGTATTTATAGTGAGAGCGCCATCTGTGGAAATTTACCATAGATGACAAAGTCCTCTCCTGTTTTACCTTATTTTGTTGTTTCCTAAGCAGGGATCTTAGCTTCCGGCAGTCTTTGTCAAACCAGGCCCCCGATTTGTTATGTTGTATGGGAGGCCTGGTGTTTATAAGAAATGGGAAAAGGGACTCTGAGACCCGCTGATATAGTGAAAAAGGATCAAAGTTAGGTAAAGGACACTGGTCTCTCAGAACCAATAGATCTGGAGAGTGCAGGTGTTGATTAATTT